GTGGTGCTGGGGGATTGAACCGTGATCTCTGTGCTTTGCTAAGCTTGTTCTAAGTAGGTGCTTTAGACCACTGAGCCATCTCACCAGCCCGTTCTGTCCCAATCTTATCTATTTTTCTTTTGCAAAAAACAAATGAAATAAGGATTGAACACTTGTAATGGTTATCTAACCTTTTCTATCAAAACACTTGATTATTTTTTTCTAACTAGTCCATTCACATAGATCTTCACTACTATACCTCACCTTCATTTCTATTACACAAAATGTTGTGAACCACTTCATTGCTGCAGCCAGCCTCTTAACTATTACACACTTAGTGCTACCTTGACTTTTCCTAATCACATTTTCTTTGCCATTTAAATCAATCTTTTCTTTCCAGTTCATCCAAGTTCTAACTCTGTCTTATGACCCCACTCAAATCACTTCTTTTCCAGAAAGTTAGCCCAATACATTTATATCCAGAGCTTTCCCTCTATTGAACTCAAAATAACCATGACTTTTACTACTCATCTTAACAAATACTGCCTTTTGTTGTTATTTAACTCATTATGCCTACTTATCTATTCAATTGTAGACCAAATGTTTTGTCAGCAGGAACAGTTTTAGAGCACCTTGTGTAGCCTATAGCACTTGGCTGTCTCAGATGCAGGAGATGATAATTTAGTGAATGATCCACTATGCTATCTGTCTACTCATACAGGCCAAATAAGGAGCTAAGCAGGATACTGCCCCTCCTTTCCCCAAATAAGGAAGAGGTAGAATAAACTTAAGTAGAAAAATAGAATGATTATACTTACATCATTGGCTACTCCTGTATGGATGAGGTCTCGAAGGAACCTCATGACACTACCATTGGCATCCCGGTGGTCCAGGGTAGTAGAGGCAATGGCCCACTGTAAGATTGGGATGACTACTTGGCTCCTCAGTAAGGTGACAGGGCTACGCTGAATAAACCTAATGTTGAAAGAAAGGTTCAGTATAAATAACAAGATTAGGCTATAAAAGCTGTGAAGGTAAAAGACAAGACCAGGGAAACAGTGATTGCTAGGTATGGTAGGGAAGGAGAAAATAAACAGAGTTCTTAGGGTAGCAATATTATTCTATATTACTCTGCAATGGTGAATGGGCATCAGACTTTTGTCAAAACTCAAGAGCACATACCACCAGAGTTGAACCCTGAGGTTTATGATCTGTAAATGCAGGTTCACTGATTACAACAATGTATCAGTCTGTTTTCCTGGGCTATCTTCCTTGAAAAAAATGAATCCCTAGATGTTCTTTGCAGAAATAGGGATAACAATTTAGAAAATACTGTTTTTCTTTTTAGGGAATAGAGTTAGTGCAGCATGTGGTGCTGGGGACTGAACCGAGGTGCCCATGCTTGCCTACACAGGGTCTTTAGACCACTCAGCTATCTTGCCAGTCCTGTCATCGTTTTCTTTCGTTTTTTTTTTTTTTTTTTTTTCTTTTTCTTTTTTTGGCGGAACCAGGGATTGAACTCAGACCCTTGCACTTGCTAGGGAAGTGCTTATTCCACTGAGCCATCTCCCCGGCCACATCTTTTTCTTTAAAAAATTACATGCAATAAATAGTCTTGTATAAAGAGGCAAAACAAACAGTAAGAAACCAAAACCAAATATTCACTTTTTTTTTTTTTTTTTGCTTTTGTCTTTTTGAGACAGGATTTCGCTATGTATTCAGGCTGGCCTCAAAATTCACACTAGTACGTAATGTAATAATTAAAAGAAAAGCGCTTGCCTGGCAAGGGCTGAGTTCAATTCCCGGTACCGCAAAAAATAAATAAATAAATAAATAAATAAATAAATAAATAGAAAGAAAGAAAGAAAGAAAGAAAGAAAGAAAGAAAGAAAGAGAAAGAAAAAGTCAGAGCTGTAGTTCAGTGACAGAGTACTTGCCAAGCAGGTGTATGCACCCGAGTATAACTTCTTGGAAAAAAAAAAAAAGCTTTTATGTTCATTGACTTGGTTCAAATTCCTTGGTTAGGGGCCAAGAAAAAAATTTAAGCAGACACTCAGCAACCATATTGTCAGTGCTACAGAGTGGCAGACAGGTAGGAATATTACTGGTTAGTGCATAAGCAAGTAACCTCTAAGTCCACCTTAAAATCCTAGGAATCCTTTGTTCTGAAATATCTAAAGGATGCTAAGCTTCCCAAAGAAAACTCAGTCACAGCAGGATGAAGTTAACTCTCTGGAGGTGGTAAAGGTTATCTAGTCAAGTATTTGAACTCAGTACCTGTTTTTTTGGGTGCTGGGGATTGAGCCCAGAGCCCCTTTCATGCTAAACCCCCAGCTGATAGCAAACATATTTTTGTCTTGTGTGTGTTCTTTTCTTCAGAAGAGCAACTCAGCTCCTACTTTGCCCCTGCTCCTACTAAAACCTTCTCATTTCTGTTGATATATTAGCTCACAATTTAACTTTGGGATATGAATCATTAATCTACCTTATTCAATAACCTCACTTTACAGAGAAGGAAATAGCTAAGTGTCAGATGGTAAGATTTAGCAGTGATGGGGATAAGCAACTGAGGAAAAACAAAAACACAACACCAAAAAAACTTGCTGTTCAGAAAGTCTTACGGGGCTGGAGAGATGGCTCAGTGGTCTAAAGCACCTACTTGGAACAAGCTTGACAAAGCACAGGTGGTTCAATCCCCCAGCACCACATGCCAGCCAGCCGCGCCCCCTGGTGGGCTGAGCTGGCCACACACACACACACACACACACACACACACACACACACACACAAAAT